AATAATAATAATAATAATAATAATAATAATAATAATAATAATAATAATAATAATAATAATAATAATAATAATAATAATAATAATAGAACAAATACAATGAAATCGCATACGAGTTCCGAATTCCTGTGTGAAAATTTCAATCGAATACAAAAGGTTGAATCTTTGTATAAAATACAATCTAATACGTTTTTGTTTTTACAAAAATCTACTTTTCGTTATCATAATTGCAGATCGAGCACAAAAAAATCAACCTGGGTATCAAAGTTGAGTTAAAATGAGAATTTTTTTTAAAAAAAAATAAATAAATATTTTCTGTCTGAAAAGTGAGACCGCACACGAAACTTTGCATTTTGTTGAAAACTGAAAACGATCTAAACAAAATCGTACAAACATATGAAATTAAAAAAGTTATAATTCATAAAAAAATAGGAATACATAATACTGAATAGAACTTATAAATATATTAACTAATTACAGAGTTTCAGTGTGCTAATTCAAAATCATAAATGATACTTGAGCTAAAAAGCATAACTAAGTAAGAAAATCGAATTTCATGTCTTAAATTCAACAAGAATCGAAAATTGAAGATGAAACGAGAGGAGAGAAAAGAGTGAAGCGACACAAATGAAAAGCCTAAATCTAATGCTGACCAAATGCTATTATAGGGTCGATCTCACACGTACATTTCAGTTGATTATTGTCAACCATTCGATCTTTTTTTTTTAATTGAATATTGTATTTGGGCTCTCTGTTTGTAGGTCGTTTGCAATAAAAACAAAAAAGAAAATTACACCATGTACAACATATATCACTTTTATTGCAAAATTACCACATGTATAACATTAATTACAAAATTATTAGATATATAAAAAATAATTAATTTAAGCATGCAATTAACTGATGTCATGATCGTTCCTTTATTATATAATTTAAATTAAAAACAAAATTGCCTTTTAAAAAGACAGAATTAATAAAGCCCGTGCATCGCACGGGAACTGTACTAGTATTTAGAACAAAAATATTATGTTAGTTGGACAATAGAAAGGCATAATAGTTAAAGGCATTATGAAGTCACTTAATAGCATTTATATAGGCTAATATTGGACAATAAATGCACTTCAAAATCATGAAAAATGCACTCAATAAGTGAATTAAATTCTCCCATGAGTTGTGATCCTTTTGAACATTCTAATTAGATGAAGTTTCAACGCTTGTTGTGACACAAATAGGGAAAAGATTTTTTGAAGCTTGGTTGAGTACGTGTAAAATATATCTTTTGTATCGTAATGTTGATCTTACTCAGTGTTATATAATTACATTGAAGATGCTAATGACCCCGTTTGAAAGATAGCAGATTGAAGATAAATTAGCGGATTGGACTTAATTGAGAGGTTTGACCCGTCAAATCCGCTATTAAGCTTGTTTGGTAAATAGCTTATTTTATAAGCTTTT